GATAGGATCAAAAGCAACCTATGCTTATTACTAGTGAAATACGTGCCGAATCGCACACACACTGGGGAAATACATCTGAGAGACAAAAAAAAAAGATGTTTTGTGCAGATGCTTTTAACCATGGGATTTAGAATGACTTCATTTTTCTCTCCTTTTTGCCAAAGAATGTATCAAAGTGTTGCTCCAGTGTGCAATAACTTCACTGTCCCCAGGACCATCCATTTTAAAAAGCAGGAAAGCTCTGCAAATGCAGATCAGAAACTTGGCAGCAGATGTCCAAAGGAAATAAAGTGAGAAATCACTGGCAGCAGTGCACCCCCTTCCCAGTGAAACCAAACCCTGAGGCTCGGTGACACGCCGTTTCTCAGGTTAGGCGATCTTGCCATTAAGCCAGGACCTGTGGGTCTTGAGAACTCACAGGTTTTTCCTGGATTTAAAACAAAAAAAGTATTCCTAAAGCAAGAACACTCCAGAGGAAAGAGACTCTTGTTAATATAAAGAATACTGGTGCTGTTTTCCTTCTTTTTTCTTAAGTTTCTGGTCCTCCTAATTCTGAAGCTAGTTAGCGCACATTAGTACAGTATATGCAGAAGTTGGCAGGAAATAAAATCATTAAACCGAAAATTGCAATAGTAGCCGTCAAGGCAATTAAAATGGTTGTAAGGCTTTGTGTTTTCAATTCTGCATCAGATTTCACTGGACCTGGAGAAAAAGAATAACTCTGAAGCGTGAAATCCTTTGGAAACAGTTTAGGAAACTGAGAGACACATGCTCTGTTCCTTAGCTACTTTATTCATGTATTTATTTTACTTGTATTTTACATTTGGTGTTCTGTATTGCTTAGTGTATCAGTTTGAAATGGACCAAATTAGCATACAACCAAACCCTCAAAACAATTATAATTTGTCATAGCTTAGCAGTCCTTTTTAGCAATGCCTGACCGTTGGTCATCTGTTACTCACAGGTTCTATGCTCTTTGCTGACAGATTGCTGTCTTATTCACCCTCATTGATACTATCAAGCTTTATACTACAATTCTTTAGTACACCAGCATGACCCCCAATAATAGCGTTAACCATAGTCTGTAAATAGATTATTATCTCCCTGTTTACTATTTTGCTTGACTCCTCCCACAGAAAGGACTTTGTACTGTGCACATACTAGATTCTCAATAAGTAAGTGCTGAATGAAAATCTAAAAATAAGAATACATTATAACATAGTAGCAGAGTTGGGGGCAGACCTGCTTCCACTTGTCTATTTCAAAATATGCTGAATACTCACTTAAGAAGGCACAAAAGGCTCAGCAGCATTTCACGTATAAATCTTCACATTCTATAGATGGCTGAGCTGTTTCACCAAATACACCAGCTTTGTGGTTCTTACAAGGATGATTTGAAATTCTGCAAAGCTGTAACAGTTACAAACTATTTTAGCAGCTCTTGGGCTGTGCTGCTTGTGTAAGGAAGCCTTTTGCCTCGTTTAGTCTTTGCCTTCCTCTGAACTGGTGTGTGCTCCTAGCAAATGCCTTTCCGTGGACTTAACCATCTACATTTCTTCTTGACCTCAGACCTCTGTATATAAAAAGCCCTCAACAGAGACAAATGTCTCCAGTCAATTTTACAACAAAATTGAGCTCTGTGGTTTCTCTGTTTACTTGCAATTTGCATATTTTAATTTAAAAACTGTAAATAAACCTAGCTCTCCAGAAGGGATATGGTGTTTCGATGGGGCTTCTCCAACCATATGGCCACTGCCGCCCCGCAGCTGTGCAGATGTGTTAACACCTGTGTTTATATCATGGCCTCTCTGGCAGTAGGTTGTGCCGTAGGTGGTCCAGAGGGAAGGAGAAATTAAGGAAAGGCCCTCACTGCCAGGGAGATCGAGAGCCACGGTACCCAGCAAAAGGACTCATCCTGGCAGCCCTAACCCGTGTTGCACCGGGTGGGAGTGACCTGATTCTGTACATTCGTGCAGATAGGAATGAAGATTTCATGTTTCTAAGGAAGCATTCCTAACTGAACACAAGATAGCATTCTAATTTATTTTGAATTGCTAGCTAGGCATAGAGTTTTTTGTTTTGTTTTGTTTTTCAGAGGACAGGGTGTTTGATTTGTTTTGTCTTTTGGAATTTTCCACTTGAGGATTCTTTATACCTGAATCAGTGGCCACAAAACCAATTTGCATTTTGTCAGTAACATCAGCGGCAGTGGAGAGGAGCTAGGCAATGGCATCCTAGTGCCAGTGTATCCCACAGGTGTTGTCTCGCCCCTGGGGACAGAGGTGTAGCTCGGCTACCCAGGACCATTGTCCCACAGGAAGCAGAAGGACCAGCTACAGTTCCACGTTGGCCAGCACTCCTTTAGGGAGGCTTCCTGCTGCCTGGGACAGTCAGCTTATCCACACCTTGCCAGTCTGTCTTCAGACTCATGCTTTAAGATTCGAATATGACACAAATTTTATCTGAGTTCTCCCATGAGCTGGCAAATACCTTGGTTTTCACTTCAAGGCAGGTTTCTACGCTCTGTCTTCACTAGGGTCCTCCTAAATTGCTAACTCAGAAGCCCCCCTTTGACCACAGTCTCCCAAGACCAGGGCAGATGTGAGTGTGCAAGATACTAACACCGCCCACTTGCCACTGCTGTGTCCTGGCTGCTCCTGTCTCTGGGCTCAAGCACTTGCCCTGCACCTGCAGGAAGCTGTCTCTTATTAGTTCATCTGCATACTTCCGCGGTCCTGAGGGTCAATGGTGAGCACATGCAAGACTGAAAGCCAACGGCAATTTCCAAGCCATGCTGGAGCCAATACTCCCAATCTTTGTTCACCCCTGTAACAAAGATGTGCGGCCAGTAGATGTGATTAGTCATTTATTTTTTCATCCCTAGCGAAAAAAAAAAAAACTAAAAATATTTAGTTGTGAAATACTGAAAATAGAGAAACAAAAATATCCATAGCCCCTGAAAAATCTAGAGTTGGCTGTAGGTTAAAAGAAAAATTGCACTGCAAACCCAGAACCCTCATCCTGGATCCTGCATGGTGTCGATCCTGTTTGACCTCTTGAGAGCTCTGGTTACCTCAAGGTTAAGGAGAAGTGGTGGGATAGGAGGAGCGCTGAGATCCCTCTGAGCACCACTTTTCCCAGGAGCGCCCTATTCAATAAACAACTATCCTTTGATAGTTGAGCCCTCTCTTCTGGGACTTGATGGGGCAGAGTCAGACCCGTGGGCAGGGTTAGCAGGGTTCCCCAAGAACTCTGGGTGCCAGCGGTGATGGACCACACTGACTATTTTGCCGTTCAGTTAAAGGAGGTGTTTCTCCGAGATGTTTCGTTCTGTGAATCTGTTACCTGTACGGTGATGCATCTGAAACGCGACTTGTGGCTGCTGCCTGTGACCCTGCGTGAGTCGAGGTCACCTTGTTTCATGACCTTTTGCTCTTCTATCCTGAATCACTTGCACACCTTCCTAAGAGCCCCCAGCCCTAAACTAATGACTTTGTTTTTCTGCCCCCAGTTAGGGTACTGAGGGAGAAAACCAAACAAAGCGAGATACCTTAGCTGTGAAGTATAGCAGTGAAAAGGAGAAACAAGGGAAAGCCCCACATGTGGGTTGTAGTTCAGTTCTGCATTCTTATTGAATTTCTACTTTTTAATTAATTCCTGTTAAGCTTGACCACATTTTTTCAGATCCTGCATATATGAGCCTGGGTCAGTTTGCACTGTTATCATGCTTTACGTACATGTAACATGATGTACATTCGTTCCACTAACACAAGTCACAAGCTCCAGTGCACGCACAGGCGTGGCTCACAGACTTCAGCACATGTGTGCGCCCTCTTCACAACAGGGCTTTCCAGAATGAGATCTGCGAAAAGCCTTCACAGCCATCAAAGGTGCATCTTGGATATAGCTTTAATTGTACGATAAGATATTCTGCACTGGTTCTTAGAGAGAGCTTTGTTAGGGACCCTCACACCCTGGAGTCCTGGAAACCCCTGTTGTCAGCATTTGCCCATGGTCCTTCACGAGGCTCTATGTTCGGCTCTGACCGAGTACAGTTGTTCCTGCTCTTAAGCAGCCCCTGTTTGCAGGCATTTATTTCAGAAGGAAGTTTCATTCTTCTGGATTGAAGTAGGGTTTATAGACTGTATTTTCCTTGGTTGCAGGGCTGGCCTGCTTTGCGGTGCCAATCCTGCCTGACGCCTAATGAAAACAGTGCGGCCCAGTGCGACACGGCAGTGTTGATTAATATCCAGGAAAAAATATTAAACACCATCCGCTTTCGCAGCTCTTGCCTTTCATAAATACACTAGTAACTACCAACTCTAAGTTTGGCAGCAATCTTTCTGGTAAATATAATTTCAGGCCAGAAACTATCATGTCGAGTAGAATGCTACTCAGAGGAAAAGGGGAGTGGAAAGCATTGCTGTGTGCGTCCTCGCCCCTCCAAGTGAGTTTTGGCATGCTTCAAGAGAAATAAAATATAAATTAATTCCCAAAGAATTGAGGATGCTTTTCCAGCATGGGACAAGGCAACTTCCCACATCAAACAGACAGGGGAGCCTTTTACACATTTAGTTGACCTTCTGTATTTACAGGATTTTTACTTTGCTTTCCTTTCTTGATTTATGACAACACAATATTGTTTTCCTTTTTAAAAGATGTCTACGAGTTCTGTGTTTGGCTAATCCTAGAGGTAGCACAATTGGAGAAAGCACTTAGAGAAAAGGCGCATTTTCAGCACAAACTGTTCTCTAATTCAGAGCTCTGTGTGTGTACATTGTAGCAGCAATTCAAGCTTAGCTTTTTTCAGTTCCTCAAAGTGCCCTTACACACAAGGCATTGTTCTTTCTCTACATATTATCTCTTGCTTTCTTAATAAATTAAGCTAGTATGCCATTAAGGGAAAGATATAATAATTAATTATTATCATTGCCATATTAATTTTCCAGAAGAAAAATGTATTTTGGGTAGTGGGAGGTGAGGCGAATAAATGAAACCTCTTGTTGGTCCTCGTTTTTATTTGTTTTTTTGGGTGCACAGGTGTTGTTTGGTCAGGGTTCACCAGGAGGCCTGATACAGATCAGCTGCCCAAGAAAGTCTCTTGGAGGAAAATCTTTAACAAAAAGAACAAAACCACTCAAACTCTGAAGAATCTGCTTTTCTTTAAAAGCACACATTTATATTAGAAAGATTTGAGTGAAACCAAATAAAGTCCCATTATCCTGGCTAGGTTTAGGGTAATCAAGTGCTCTAGGAATTGTTCTGGAAAGAAGGCTATTTTCAACCAATCTTTTTTACAACAGAAACAAATATAAACTCACTACTTCAACACGGTAACTGCCCCATGAGCTGTTCACCTTCCAATTTTTGATGTGATATTATGCATATTGGGAATATATTAAAATTCACATTCTATGTGTACATTTGCAGATGCGTTATTGATATAGCTATTAAAATACAGAAAGTTACATTTGTAACTTCACATGAGGATAAGTATACACATATAAGTATTTTTGAAAGATGACAATGACAAATTATTCAAATGTTTTTGAAACTATGCACCCCTGACTAAGAATCTAATAACTACACACTTAATAAACCCAAATAATTTAGAATACTGACATTTCTTATGAATATGATAATAGAATGCATAAGTTCAGCCACAGAATTGAAGTTATTCTATCCAAAAAGATTTCATGTTTTCTTAGCATATAAAAAAATAGCAACACCAAATTAACTTCAATAAACCTAAGGTCTCTTATATTTTAAGTGTAAATTAAAATTTCTCATTATGGAAGCATTATTTGAAGTAAAACATTTAATGAACTACTTTTCTACATTCTTAGCAATTGACTTACTTAAAAATGAAATATGGAAAATTTAGTGATTCTGATCAGTGAACTCTGATCAATGAAAAAACTGATTCATTCTTTTCTCAGCATATCTGTAACACTATTAACACTCCCTATTAATAATAATCTTCAATTTCTGAGAAACACTCAGAAGGGAAATCCTTCCTTAATGCGCACAAATCTGTGGGAGACCACAGTGTCAGCACCTCCATGTGCTCTGGTTACGGATGTCCCCTAAGTCAATTCCAGGCCACGGTAAAATGACTGACAACAGGTGAATTTTAAAGAAAAAGGGAAAGAAAGACAAAGAAAAAGGAAAGAATGAAAGCAAAAGAAAAATGTGCAGGTTGACAGAGAAAAGAAAATTGAGCCAACAACCTGACAAGTTCCTCCTTGTTCCTCCCTTATTCCCTCTCCTCCCCCTTTCCTGTTTGTGCCCCTCCTTCCTTACAGGGCAAATGGTCCTGATGAAACCAGTCTTTTCTTTTTTCTTTTTTTGGTACCGGGGATTGAACTTGGGTCCTTGAGCTTTCGAGGCAGGCGGTGGAACCACTGAGCTAAATCCCCGGCCCCAGCCTTTTCTTTTTCACCAGTAGCAACTGACTACCACTGCTCACTACACACACAAGCACACATGCACGCAGACACACCTGCTTGTCAATGCACACTGCAAACATACACCCCAGCTACACACTCATGAACACACACAATACCCTCCCATACACATAGCCACATGTGTGTACATTTACACACACATATATTCAGACACACACACACACACACACACACACTATAAAAAAAAGACTGAAAAATTAAACTCAGAGATGGGAACTACCGAGGAGGGTGGCATGTAGGGAATGGGAAAGGAGATGTCCCTGCCCAATGGCGGTGTTGCGGGTGGATTTCGAGGCTCAAGGGCCTCAGATGCTCAGTTTGCTTCATCTTAGCCTCATTTCACCCCTCCTTGCATCACCGTCCTGCCTCCTCGGTCATGGCTTCAGTATTTATTTCCCCACATCTCTGATCTTTTCTGTAAATTGAGGTCTTCAGCAGAATTCCATGTGAAAAAATGCCAACAGCGGCGTTCTAATTTTTAAAAACTTCTCTGATTAACACACTTCTCTTTTGTGGCTGAACCGGTCATCATAGGAAGATCGTTTACTGGTGTTTTGCTTTCAACAGCTCTTCTGCTTCTGCAAGCAGGACTGTAACTGGAGAACCACTGGGAGGGTGTGGGCTTCCCGGCCACAGGGCGCCCTCTCTCCGGGCTCGGCTGAGGTGGCCGTCTGCACTGGCAAACATGGTCCTGGAGAGCCAGTTGGCTCCTCGCTGGCTTAGAACATCACTTCTTTGTGCTTCTGTTACAAGGAAATGTGCAGAAGAACCAACTCACGTGCTCAAGAAAAAGAGATCAGGAACCTGGTGTATTTTGCCCATGCTTTGGAAAAACTAATCCAGATCAGGTGAGTTGTCACTTGTTTACAGTCGAATGTCAGACATAGAAAGCCAATACATAGATCCAAGAATTCTGTTATCCACACTGTACATATCCCAGGTTTCTGTCTAAGTTGTTAAGTTTCAAGAGAAAGCAGATGGGAAGATAGCTCATACTTAGGCTTGTGTGTTTTGTTTTGTACGAACCATTCGGCAATCCTGTCCCTTCCCAGGGCCTCTGTTGACACCGGCCTCTCCTCTGTGATGTAAACCCTGCAGCCCACACTGCGTGTTGTTATTAGGCATAGTTTCGAAATTTGGGGCATTAAGTTCCTTTGGGCGATGCCTACATTGAGCTGCGAGTTTTGTCTGTGCACCAAGTGTAAAACATTCTCTGCGGTGCTGCATCGCCACTGACGTGAAAGGGCAGCTCCCGGCTGCACCAGGAGAGGGCAAGTCAGGAGAAGCGGTTTGCTCTTGTTTCTTCTCTGAAATACATTTCTTGGAAAAACATTTTAGGTTTGCTATTTCACAGCCATGTCGGGGAGGAGTCAGCCATGCTGAAAAGTATTTCTAATCCTAGGAAAGTAGAAATGGTAGTGGAAAATATTTTAAATGTATAATTTTTATTTTTGAGACTATACAAATAATAAAACTTGCCTTTCTCATATGTTCAGACTTATCTGCAAAAGCCCAGATATCCAAATGGACTTGTTCATTTATTTTCTTAAGATATGATTTACTGTAACAAGACAGACAAGGTGAGAGGTGGGCCCACTACTACGAAAAAGGATACGGGTGTGAATGATGTGATTTGCTTTTAACATTTTATTTTTAAAAGAGACATGTAAAGAAAAACTATTAAATAAAATATGTTTGAATTTACCAAGTGAATGAATAAATGTTTTCTGTTTTGTTTTCTAAGAGTGCAAGAACTTCAACAATTTTATTCAGTAATCAGGACAGCCATCCAAGGCTAAATATATTCTTTATTAAAACTGTAATATGTTTCCTGTTTTATACTTGATTCTATTACTATGTGTATACTTTAAAAAACATAGACTGATTTTCCTTTTCATGTTTTCTTAATGACTTTTTAACTTTTTAAATAAGTTAGCCTCAGAGAGATATGAATCTCAATTATATGTTGAAAAACACTTTGATAGCCTATGAAGAGATATATGGAGCAATGACCATTATTCTGTGCATAGCATATCTTAGTGTCAGATATACAATCAGTATCATGTGAAAACTGTAATTATTATTCAGCTTATTATATATAATCAAATTACATACTTCCACTAGGCAATTTTTGCATACTATAGGCAAATTTTTTCCTCATTAATCACTTACTTTTAAGATATATGGGCCTGAGGGTGAACTTAATACATAGTAAAGCATGTGTTTAGCAAATGCAAGGCCCTCAACTCCTAGAAGAAAAGGACAAAATATATATGGAAAAGAAATCCTATTTATAAATTATAGCAAAGCAGTGCTGAAAATTTTCACCAAAGAAGTCAGACACCTCTATAAACTTACTAATTTTTATATAACTAGAGGATTTGATTTTTGACAGTTTAGTGCGATCTCCAGTTTATAAAAAATAACTCACTTAATAGTATTAATTTGGGTGTTGAAGTTTTGTTTTAATTTCTCAAAATCAATTGCTCCAAATAAAGCTGGACAATTCACAGACATGGTGACCTCTGCTCCACGGGAAGGTCTTCTCTTCCATTTTGAGGTAAACTGAGGTCTCATTACCACATCCGTCAGTCACACTGGGGCAGAGACGGGTATACAACAAGGGCAGGAGCTCCAGGATTAAGAGATGAAGCAGATCCGGCCCACTTTAAAGACAGAAACATGGATATGTACTTGCTCCTCCACTGGCCTCTCTAGGGGAGTGGAATTTGTGTAATCATCTTTGGTAACTAAGTCAATCAAACACGTGTCTAGATTTTCAACCACTAAATTTTTCTTTTAATATATTTCACGCAAAATGTTTCAGACATTACAAATTCACTTTCTCCCTGCACTTTTAGTTTGGAAATCAAACTCACCCAGGATGAAAGCAAAGTCAGTTTTAAAGAGTACATTTAAAGTGTAAATTAAGCCTTGTGGATAAATTTAATTTTTGGCAAGATTGTGTTTTTACACAAATCCATTGAAACAAAGTCCTCTTGGAATGTTGGGCAATACAAAATTTACAGCAGTGGTACATTATTAGAACAGCATGGCGTGGCATCTTGAGAAAATTAAAAATTCACCATGAGCCTTCCTAGTCCTAAGGAAAACCACTCCTGTGATATATGTGCATGTCATTCCTGTGGTACCCCAGTGGGCCTGTGTGGTGATATGAGTGTGTTTGTTGTTAACAGAGTTAGAGCCAGCCCGTTCCATGAGGACTTGGACGGGCAATCACCAAATTCACCAAGTAGTTTCCCAGTGTACCTCTTGTTTAGCCTTCACTTGTCACGGTAACGGAGCATTTCCCTGTGTTTTCTCTTCTTCTAAAAGGAAGTAAACTTGTCTTTTAGTTTCCCGAAGGAGCGGCGTCTGCGGGCTTGGATCTAGTTAGTACAGCCGCAGGACCACAGCCAGAGCGGGGCCCTCCGCGCGTCGGCCGCTCACGGCGACTGGCTTTTCTTCTCATTGTTGTAGTTTGAAATGGAAACGCCGCACTGCTGAGAAAATGCCATGAAAATATAACCCACTGCGTTCCAGAAAAATAAATAAGCAAGGCCACCCAAATTTTCAATTAGTGCTCCTGCAGAACGCAGGAAATGGCGAGAGCCTTCCAAGGCGCCCGGCGGCCGCGGGCGCTGCGCACCGGACCGGAAGGAAGCCCGGCGGCGGTGCACCTGGCCCCGCTCCAGGGAAGCTGGGCGGGCGCCGGGCCGGGCTGCGGGGCGGCAGCGCCGAGGGTCGGGCCGTCCGCGGCTCCCGCAGCAAGCTTGGAAAGCAGGCCCGGATCCCACCGCGGGTCGCCGGAGCAGCGCCTCCTGCCCGCTGGGAGGAGTCCGGTGCTCGGCCCACCCTGCGCCGGCCGCGACCCCGGGAGGAGGCCCCTTCCTCCATAGGGGCGCTCGCCTTCCGTGGCCACGCTGGGCAGCGGGCTCCTGCTCTCTTTCGCTGCTCAGGTCTTCGCCGCAGCGTCTGGGGTTTCCAGCTCCTCACAGTAGAAGTTGGTTCAGAGGAGGGACGAAAAGGATCGGCTTCCCCACAACGTGGTGTTGTTTCTCTTCGCAGAACAGACGGCCCCGATTGTTCTGGAGGAATTTTATCTGTTGTGGGTCTGTTTTAAATTTTTTAAACTATGCTATTTTAAAACATATCTCCTTCACACCACATTAACGAACAGAGTAAAGCTACACATTCGGTTTATTCCTGCAACCAAGAAGTGAAACAATTGAGTGGCTGCTGGGACCACTGTGGTTAAGAAAGAAACTCGCGAGGAGTCACTGTAAGCTGGGAAGAGTGCTGAGCACCACCGGAAGACAGACAAGCGGCCATCAGTCCACTGCGCTGTTATTATTTACGTGGCCATGCTGTCCGTCTGCGGTAACTGAAGGAGAATTTCTTTATGACTTATCCCGTCATACGGACAGAGTAAATAAAAACAATCGCTCATGCTATTCTTCTTAGCTGACTTCATTTAGTGGACATTAGGTCAAAAAGGCTGCCATTAATTAGGAATTTCATTTATGTACTATAATACTGTGATACTCCTTATGGGTCCTAGTGGATTGGGGGTGTGTCCTTTGCTTAGCTGTCTTACACAAAATAAGGACCAGGGAGAGAGCGTCTTTCCATTTGCAATAGCTTCAAAATATACATGCCTTGGGCGGGGGATTTAGCTCAGAGTTCGATCCCCGGTACCAAAAAATAAAAATAAAATAAAAAATAAATGCTTTTAGATTTAGTGGATTATGCAATTGTTAGCTGCAGGGATACAGAAAACCAAGAACTGTCTCCTGCCATAGTGTTAGCCACAGAGCCGGGCGGAGAGGAGGCACCCAGGGGTGCTGGGTCCCCTGCCTCCTCCACACCCAGGGAGGATGTCGCGAGTCCTCTCCTCTCCTCGGCTGCCTCCGCCCCTTCCACGCCCTTGCTGTCTCCATCCTGAGCCGGCTTCCAGGGAATAACGTGGTGAATGCACACAGGTGACTAAGTTATTCCAGCGCTCATCCTTTCGGTGAGGTTCCAAGGTAAATCACCGTGACACAAAGCTGAGGCTCCAGGTCAGAGGCGGCAGGGCCCCTGGACCCTGCAGACCAAGCCTCTGACTTTGCAGAGAAGGGAAGGCTCAGGACAAGCCGATGGACACCTTCGAAGTGCTGCCTGAGCAGAGCAGCTACCCGTTCTGTACAGTTTCACCTTAATCAAGTCGCCACGGACACTGTGCATTGTAATCCTAACATACATTTACATATAAATAAATAAATAAACAAATAAATAAATAAATATATTTTTTTGGTGGTGGTGCTGGGGATCAAATCCAGGGCCTTGCTAATGCTAGGCAAGCACTCTGCCACTGAACTACAGTATCCTCATTTTGTATACCAAGATCAAAAGGGGGTTCACATGGGGAGGCTCCCACTTTCTCAGGTCCAGGGCCCTGAGAAGGTCACACAGTGCCCCTGGGAGGCCGCGGGCTCCGCTGCCCAGTGATAGCCAGGTTCACACATTCACCATGCCTTCGTTTGACAGAATTTTGGCAGCATCAGCCTCACGGCCTGAGTGGGAAAAGTCTCCAGAAGCAGTAGAAGGATGTGCTTTCCCTCTTGGGTGGCCTCAGATGGCCTTCACCTGAGCCATGCCTCCCTAATGCAAAAATAGGAAGAAAGAGGCAGGTTAGGTTAGAAAGTGATGAATGCAGAAGTAGCTGTCAGAGAGGCCCAGAGCACAGTCAGTCTAGAGGACCCAGAAGGTGGAGCAGGAGGCAGCTTTTCTCGAACGCATGTGTAGGGATTCAATGTTCTAGGATAGCAGGAATGGGCCTTTTTGGTAGAGGTTCATTGCAATCAGAGATACCGAGATAGGAAGGCCCAGAATCTGGGCTGGGCATGCAGCTCCATGGTGGAGACCTGGCCTGGCATACATGAGGCTCAGGGTTCAACCCCTGCATTGTAAAATTTTAAAAACATTTTTTTAAACAGAGCTCTAAACACAATTTACTAGGTTAGGATGAGAATTTTGTTTTTGTTTCTGCAGGGAAGAGAGAGGTCTCTGAATCATCACACAGGGGTCCATCCACCTGTCCTCGAGCCCCTCCTGGTGTTTGCAGATGTTCTGGGGGTGGCCTGTGTGAGGATGGCCCTGGCTTCCATTTGTGCTCTCTACTCTGAGTGCCTGCTAGTCACGGCCAGGGGCAGAGTTTTGCAATTGTCCTTTGAAATTGACTTTAAAAGGATCACTTACTTCAGCTCCAGCTTTTCCAGTGATGCTACAACCGCCAGGCTTTCTCTCTCCTCCACGGCTCACTCTCCAGGCTGCCTGTGTTCTGGAGTCACAGAGCGTCGACCCCGAGACTCCGGGGACACCGCCCACAGCAGGCCATGCTGTGCTGTGAGAATCTCTCCTTCTGATACACAGTGGTGGAAACTATCAAGGCCATGGCAACCCGGAGAAAACCTGCACCAGTAGGATGAGGTGGCTGTACTAATATTGTCCTGTTAAGTAATAACTAATTTATCAGCACACGAATGGTCAGGATGAGCGATACATACAAGATAAACAGACACTGTGCAAATGGGTGCCCCATGTTGTTCTCATCACTGCAGGCGGTGCAGACACCCACAGACAGTTAGAAAGCAGGCTCTGGAACCCAAGAGGCTGGCATTTAGATCCTGGTCCAGGCCTGCACTGCTCTGGGCAAATCACCCACCCAAGCTTCAGTGGGCGAGTGTACCCCAGGGACACGCCATTCTCTGCCTCTCTGCACTTGATCTTAGCCAAAAGGCCGAGAAGCGATCTCTCTGCCTCTCTGTGTTGTGATGCTGGGCTTAAAGCAAGTGCTTCTCAGTGTTTGGTTCCTTCTCTTTTCCCATGGTAAATAAGTACATACTGTGCGCTACTGATTATTACTGTATCTGGAACATACGAAATATTTATTGTTTCTTAAAAGCCAAGGGCCTGGTGCTAATCGTCCAGCACCCAGCAGCACGATGCTGTCTGGGGCTGGCCTTCTCCTCCCAGCCCTGGTCCTCTCCTCCCCCCCACCCCAAGGAAACTCATGACCAGCCTGTCGCCTTGTTAGAGGCTGTGGCACATGGCCATCTTTAATCCAGCAGTCCACTCTGAATTTAAGTTTGTCACCGTTCTCCTTAGAGGGAATGAGAAGGAAAATGAATTTAATTTAGTATAAAAAATAAACATTTCTGGGCACTGGAAACATCTGTGGTGTTTTAAGAGCTGTTATCATTAATCAGTCAAGCATGTTTACCCAGACCCGGGATTGCTTATGAAACTGAGCCACATGCCCCGGGCCTTCGAGGAGAGGTGGCCACCAACGTCCAAGGCGGAGGGCCATGTTCACAGTCGTCATGACGCGCGGCCGCTCGCGGGTGTGGCCTCTGCGGAGTGCACTTTCCAGGCTACCAGGAGGGGATGTAACATAGTTGGGGGCACCGCAAAGCCCTGCTGGGACCACTGGTGGCTCGTGGCTCTCTGGTTTGGGCAGCACTTTCTGTGGTTGTGCTTTTTAATAGTTTATCCTGTTAGAGTTTGGAAAACCAGTGTCTCCTCAAGAATTCTCTTGACCCTTGTTGTCAAATAGCCATGGTGATCATCACTGGGAATTCTCACGTACAGAAGGCCTGTGTCGGCCTAGGAAGTGAAGGGGTGCAGGAAGCGAAGAGGAGCAGGGGCAGATGTATCCCCCTCAGCCTAACCTGGGGAGGTGGAGTCCGAGGCTGCTCCTGCGGGGCACACAGAAGACCTCTCTAAGACACCAACGCAAAAAGGAAGCTCCATGCAGAAAGTGCAGAGCCGTAAACGTAAGCGGCTCACTGGGCACCGAGAAGGCTCTCATTCAGGCAAGCAGTGAACACCTGCAGAGCTCACATTATGTGCTCAGCACGGGTCTGCTCCAAGGATAGACCCACGGACAAGGCAGAGTCCTTACCCGCCCACGCGGCTCAGATGCTCCCACGGTCGCAGGCTCCTATTTAACACAGTGGCCGAAGCTAACACGTTTGAGCTTGAAAACTAAAACGAAGGTAAAAGATGAGGGTCTGCCGGGTGGGTCCCGAGCCTGCGCTGCGTGGCGTGGTCAGGGAAGCCTCTGGAGGAGACGGGAGAAGAGGCCGGGATGAAGCCTCAAGGTCGTCAAGGGCAGGGCAGCGAGGGCTCGGCAGGGAGGGGCAGGAGCACAGCGGAGGAGGCCCGGAGCAGGACAAGCGCACAGCGTCCTGGGCTCTCACGGGCCAGGTGCCGGAAGAGGGTCCTACCAGGGCCTCGGAGTCCGGCTGGAAGGGATTCGGAAGGACGGGGCCTGGCAGTGGGGGCAGCACAGCTGCATGGCGACTGCAGTTGTGCAGGGTCTCGGGTTCCGGGGGAGCAGGACCTGCGGCCGTGGCGATTGCCCAGGTCCGTGACCGCTTTGGCTCAGAAGAGGATGCAGAGCAGACAGAAGCGGCTGGGGCTGAGCTCCTGTCTTCCATGGGTCCGAGGGGCTCTGCTGCGCAGCGAAGACAACAAAACAAGATAAATCCAAGTGGGGCGGTGCAGCTTAGCAGCTGAGGCTCTGGAGCCAGACTACACAGGTTCGAAACCCGTCCTCGCTCCCAGGAGCTGTGTACATCCTGGAAAATGACTTATGTTGTCCGTGTTCCTCTGAC